AGCGAGATCGCCAAGATGAGCGCTGATTCACGAGAGGAGTCGAGCAGCCCCCTCTCGGCCGATGAGCGGAAAGACATACACCGCGCTCGTAGCCACGAGATGCTGAATGGCAGAGCTGAGGATACATCATTCCTTGCTCCACCAACGCCAACCGGGCCCACGGACCCGTTTAAAGACGCCAAAACACCTTCCGCAGATGGCGAGACAATCTTCCTAACCAGCGCCGTTTTCAAGCCCTGAAGCCACCACGCAGCACCTCGGAGGGCTTGTAACGAGTCGTTTTCTTTCTTCGCTTCGCACCATGTTTGTATTTCATACCACGCTCCCTACGTCGCAACGATTTTTCACGGCCAGTCTACTCTACGATTCTTTGTTTTGAGCCTCTGCTCCGAATATCAGATACCCATTCGCATCGGCCTCTCAGGTACTTGGCATTATTTGTTTTTTTGATACACTGCATACAACGTCTTCAGCTCATTGGTTGGTGTTATGGGCGTCCTCTTCTCATGTCAGCATGATGACGATCTCTCTTCCTTTTCAAACATGTATTTCATAATTGACCTGGCATTGCCCATCGGCACTTTGGAGTTTTACTGCATAGCAGGGAGGGCTGAGACAAGGCGGGGGGGAACACATTTTGCGTACAGTGATGGCTCGGTCGAGTACCAAAGGCTACACACTCGACATGTGAGGCCTTTGGGGCATCCTCTCATGTTTTGGGCTCCCTAAAGAAAAGTAAAAAAGGACAAAAAAAACAATGTCACCAATATTTCAGGTTCTTATCGATCAGTACCGCACGAAAAAGATCAGCAGGAGTACCTACCGTTCGCTGTTTTTGACATCAAACGGGGGCAGGCCAATGGGCGAACGGCTGACATGGTAGTGTTTCTCAATCAGGTCGATCAGCAAAGAAGTCTCCGGTCGCCTCGTGGGTTTTGAGCGGCATTGAAGCGCTGATCACGTCAATCCCCAGCGATCGGCAGTGCTAGGGCTGTCTGTCGGTGAAGTTGCGAGAGCGTCACAACCATGCGCGACGGCCTGACCCGACTGTCTGGCAAGCCTAGGCAGGTAGCTGGATTCTTTTTGTTTTCCAACGAAAAGAGAACGAAAAGAGCGACTGGTCGATCCCATGATTGAAGGCACCACCGAGACGTCCAAACCATGGCCAGTTTCTCGAGACTCAACATGCGAGGGACACGGAGTCGCTGGGAGCTGCTCGCCTGCCTAGGATGATGGACCGATTTGGGGGTCCGATCCCCAATGTAACATGGCAGAAAATCGAACAAAGACTGCCGCCTCTCGTGCCTGCCATCTCATTGTCAATCTCATTGGGGGCATCGCCTCTCTCCGGGTGCAACAAAAGTCAATCTGGATGAGGTCCAACGGTCAACAATGGCGAAGCGACGTTGGAAACGGGTCAAGGCCCGTCGTGGCGCGTCTCTAGCCCCGTCTCACAAGAGGGTGGAGTGGGGGGAGGGGTGTCCAGGCTGCCAGGGAGTCTTCTTTTCCAGGGAGGGGGAGAAGGGGAGGCAGAGACAGATGTCGTCCCTGTCATCCATCCCCCCCCCTTGTACAAGACCGTCCCGGGTCACTGAAAGAATCACCCCCGCCCCCTGGGCGTGCATGAGCACCCTATACGTCGCCTCCTCCTCGCTTGGCACCCGACCTTGAACTCTTCCACTGTAGCGGGTTCCCCTGCAGCGGTTCCCCTGCAGCCAGCGTGCCCGATGCACCCCCCCCCCCCCCCCCCCGGGCGGGTGGGCCTCCCTTCCTAAAGGTTCAAGGTCGCCACCGGCCCTGGGATCAAAAGGCATTGGAAAAACGGCCATACAAGGGGGAGGGGGGGTTCATCAGATTCTTCTCATTCGTCCCACCGTAGACACTGCTTCACGATATCCGCATCGCCCGCGTAGGCGGGTCCGGAGATGATAACACGAACTGCTGATCTACGCTCGATGGTCAGGGAAAAAAACCCCCTTCAGACTGTGGCTCGAAACCACAAGAACCCTTCAAGAGACTGAACGAAGGCCGTAGCGCGTCTATAATGATCGGGCGGGGCTCGACAGCTACACGCCAAGCACACACCCCCAGTGGATAACACGCCGCGAG